CTATTGTGGCTTTGTACTGGTTACTGAACTTCTTATTCACATACTGGTTCATCAACGAGGTCTTCCCAACTCTAGGAGGAACAAAATAAATCACAGGACAACATTCAGAGACTGTGATGAAGCCACTGAGGTGCATTGACTCATGGTGTACACAAAATCATTATAGGAATAGATGAAATCCCCTAATGAAGTGCTTCGATGCTAAGGCTCAACGACACTCACCCGGAGTCTCCGAGGATGATGACTTTGAGTAGAACTTTCTTCCTTGACGTCATTGTGCCACAGCTGTAAAAAAAAAAAAAGTAGAGAAGATGGGAGAATAAAAGTCTTCTAGTAAAAGCAGGGCAACATTGGAAATGCTCAAACAAGACGGATACAGCGATGCCTGAGTGATGACTCTTTAGTTATGGGCCAACAGCTTTGACTGAAAGATGATAACATGTGTGTGATCTCGAAATAAATGTCAAAGAAATGGGCCTGTTCTAGGAATGAAACCAACTGCAGTGACTCCTACAGTCCAGTTTCCTTTACTTCACAAAGAAAAATACAGCAATTGGTGTAAAACAATAAACTGCAACACAATGTACCAAGAGGCTCTAAATACAGGCTCTCAAAACAATTCATGAAACGCACAATTCACTATATTTGTTTTTTTTACCCACAGTTATTTGAACAATACCGTGCTCAGGATGTTGATGAAATAAACTATTTTGAGCACAAACGCTAGCTGTAATTGTTATACTGTAAAGTGTAGATTTGGTGTTATATATTTTCACAAAACATTCAATGGATTAAAAAAAAAAAAAAGTATAACCTTTTCCGAAGATTAAATGTGCAGCTTTTTAAAGCTAAAATAGAAGAAGAAAAAGATCAAAACCACATTTACTCGAAACACACTGAATGAAGCCATGGATCTTATCATCACATGTCAATACCGAATTGCTTCATGAGGACTTCCCAACTGAGACCTGTTATTGTCAAACCAGATGAGCAGGTGTTGATGCAATCTTCCTTCCCCGATTGACTTCAAAGGTACTGGTTGTGTTTGCACTAAATCTCTTTTATGTGTCTGCTCAAGACATCACCAAGCCTTTCTGATTTTGACTGAGTGTGCTGCATTGTAATAATAAACCACCTCGTACAAACTGTATTACCGATGGGCTTTAAATCATAATTCCCTTCTGTTAGACCCTGGAGAAAGCATTATGGAAGAAAATAACAGTAATAGGGTTTCTCTACACAACACTCAACCACTAATGTGTATCAAAAAGCAACGGCTTGAATCCACATCAGTGCTATTATGAGGCAAAGCTAGCATAGAGCTATCAAAGCGGGCGGCTCATAATCTGCACCCCATGACACTGTGTCAGGGACTGGTCACATGGTTTTAAAACACAGGACTAACGGAACCATGACTTGGCAAGCATGATTAGCACAGCAAATGCTGTAGTTTAAGATAAAACACACCGGTGTAATCCATAGGTATGATCAGTCAATATATACACTTTTCTGGTAGTATATATTTCTACTTAATTAACAGACTTCATATTTTAAATTGTAACCATTAAAACATCAAACATACATGTTGGAGATCAAATTCCAGATAGCTAGTTAAGCATATGGAAGAACATTATGAAACATGGCTAGGTGAATAGTATTGTTATTAAATAAAGACAAATCAACTAAATACTAATTTTCATACCGTGTCAGCTAACAATTACCACATCGGTGACACTTCTTGATTTAAGCTAACGTTTAGTGAGCTAAGCAAGGATTTGACCAAATGTGAAACTAAGTTGACGACAGCTATATCGTTATTGTGTATATTGTTAGTAAAAAAAACAAGTACGACAGACAACTCAAACCAACCTGGGCGATGATCCTGCGGTAGAAAAGATCAAAAGTGGGACTTTTCTTCTGCCTCAGTTGGGAGCGCTAGCTAGGCTAACTAACAGGCTAACAGATCCTGTAAACCGTCAGAAAACAACACTTTTTAGCGCATCGACAGCTCAATATTCTCCGATAGCTAGCCTCGCAGCTAAGCCTGCTTATCAAAGTCGACACTGCCACTGCCGATATATCCCTCCCTTCGTGTAACAGAAGCGATTTGGTACAATGGTCGGTTTCGTTCCGTTGACGCTTTGCTTTCCCCTGTCAAGCTAACCGTGCTAGCTGCTAGCTGAGCTCTGCTCACTTCCTCCAAAACAAGCTCTGTCGGGAGGGCTGACGTCACGCCATGGACACGCCTTGTTGCACAGGACAAGTCAACAACACTTGACTCAAGATTTAAACATTCAACGGTTTTATCTCATAATAATATTAATTATAATATATTATTATTTATATAGTGCTTTTCCTGGTGCTCAAATTGGTTAGCACCGTAGCTACAGTGAAGGTATGGCAATTACAATCCCATCATATAAGACATAAAACAATAAAAATAGTGCAAAAAGAAACAGAATCTAGAAGTAAAATAATGCAAGAGAATGTTGCAAGTGACCAATGTGCAAGTAATGCAGGAGAGGTGAACTAAATACATGTAAAATAGAATCAGATGAGCTAAAAACAACAACATCTGTACTCTATCAATATTAATTATTATTTAATTATTCATTGTTTATGTATTGATATCATTTTTTTATTTAATCATTGTATTTTTATTTGTCATTATAATTGTTTGAATGGCATTTATGTACTCTGTACTCTGTAACCCACACACGCCATCTAGGCGAACCACCAACCTCTGGTTGTTAGGCATCCATTTACCCCTTCAGCCAAAAACACCAGTAGGCCTACGTATTATTCCAGTCAAATTTTACAGGATTGGCATCTACGTTTATTAGGGTTACAAGGCGACACAAAGATATTGTTAAAGAACATTTGTTTGAACTCATCGCCAGAAGTAACCATCCATTTTTCACATCTGTTCTGGACAAACCCAAGGCAGGACGTGTGTAGCAGGGTTTCCTGAATATGTCATTTAGAAAAAACTGACCCCCACATTGGTATTTACTCCTTGTGCCAAATACACCCAGATGTATTTCATCAAAAATGTTACAGACTGGGCTCATTCGTATATTAGTGGTAGAATGGGACTACCTGAATATGTCCGTGAGAAAAAACTGGAATTAAGCCTAAATATCTTTCTACCTTTTTCCGTTTTTTACACCACAATTAAAAACGTTTTTACAAGAGTTTGCAAGAGCTGTTATTCTCTAAAGAACTTGCAAGAGTTCCTCCCCGGCAGCTCGGTGAGGTAAAATAACAAAACAATAGAGCATGCTCGGAGTTGAACCCTCAGGTTGGAAGACATCCATGTACCCCCTTGAGCCCCACACACAAGCCACACACATATTGCATTAAGATCTTACTATTACCTTACATTATAACATTATCTTAAATTAAAATCTTCTACCTTTGAGCTTTGTAATCTGTTCAATGGTATTTTATTTAGTAAATATCCGTTAAAATGCAAAACATTCCTTTCATGACATTTTAACGATGGTACACTTTGAGATGAGGAGGAGAGGACTTGTCAGAGGAGATATTGTAAAAACATTTGTTTTAAGAAAGGAAGTGACAGTCCAATTTCTTACATATGTTCAGAAAATACAAGGCTGCCTACCAGGGCATCTGGAGTCAGGTTTCTTTAATATGTCCTTTCAAAACAATGGAATTACGCCTCGGTACCTTTCCAACTTTACCAAACTTCAGGTTTTTTCCCCATTAAAACAAACCCTCCATTCAAACAACAAAACGGTTATCTCGATTGGGATAGTCAGGCTATAACTCCATCATTTCTGAACAACAAGAAGTTATCATGTTGATTTATCCTAGTGTGTATTGTGCTGCTAAATGTTAAAATGATAAATGCTAAATGTGTGCGTTATCTCACTGCTAGTGGAGAAGAGCTTCAAAATCAAAAATCTCAAACCTGTTAGAAATCCCATCCTGTTACTGAGTTTTAGGCTAGGTTTTAGGTAGGCCTAGTAGCAAAACCTTTAGCAACACCATTGTTGACGCTAATAAACATTTATATCTGGCTGTTGAGGGGCTCTGAAGAGAAGTGTACTTCTTGCGCCAAATACATCAATATAAATACATCAAAGTTTATTTTATCAGCCCGATATCACAAATTGTACTTTTGTCTCAGGGGGCTTAAAGGTCTATACAGAACATGAATATGCTGGAAATTCCCGGTGCTGAAAGCTTTTGAAATAGTTATTGAAGAGAGAAGAGTCATGGGTTTCTCCTTGCATTGTGTAGTACAACTTGACACAAAGCTCCCAAATAAAAGGGGGACTGGTCCGAAGAAGTGAAATAAAATATTATAGCAACTCAAAGATATTGTTAAAGACACGTGCACAACTTCAAGAGCAACATTTGTTATAAATGTTGTCGTATCCAATGCTACAAAGCAGAACAACATTGTGTGAAACACGCAGAGTTTATTTATTTCCACATTTATTTATTCCCGTATTTATGTATTCATACTTGTGTCGTATTCCATCCTCCACACAGAGACTAAAAGTCAGATGCCTGCCGAAACCAGGGATCGAACCAGGGACCTTTAGATCTTCAGTCTAACGCTCTCCCAACTGAGCTATTTCGGCTTCATGTGTGGCCAAGTGGTGTGGTAAAACTAGTCAAACACAATGTGTCACAAACAAACCATATACAAAAACAAAACCCCATTCGGTCAAACGCAACGAAATTCGGTGTTTTGGATTTGTTGATATTAAACTGGACCGCTGTCATCAATAGGCAAAGTAACTAACATTAATATTTCAGTTGGAATGATCGGACAGTAGAACATGACAACAATGAGAGGTAAACCTTTTATGTTGTCGTCTTAAAAAGCAAGTTTTGGTTTTATCGGTTTTATCCATAGGTTTTTATCTTAAAAACGTTGTTTACCTGTTAGATTTCACAATATGGTCCGACGCAGGGCGCTTTGTGAACGTGCAGCACGCACCGTGACGTCATGACGTTGGACCGAATGTAGCGTCATCCTTTCTGATGTAGAGCGGCACGGCGGCCTTTCTTTGCTGCTCTACATATCCCTCCGTCTCTGTCTGCACTTATTCCCGGTATTTCAGTTCTGAATTTCTCCAAACATGGCTCGAAAGACGCCGGTTCTCGCAGCGTGCCTGCTGCTGCTTCTGGCCGCTGTGGGCTCGGAGGTTTCTGCTGACGGGTTGGTTTACGAGGACGTGAAAAGAACCGTGGACCTGAGCACTCATCTGGCTAAGATCACGGCGGAGATCGTGCTGTCCAACCAGGGATCCTCCGCCGCTCATAACTTCATATTAGCTATAGAGGCTGAACTAGTCCCGAACCTGGCGTACATCGGAGCTTCGGTGAGCCTAAAACATCTTAAGTAACGCTAACACCTCTGCCTGTAACCGGCTAGCTAGCTAGCTTTAGCATGTTAGCAACCTCATAGTAGGCTACTAAATGCTTGCCTGTGCAAAGTCTTGCTGCTCTCAAATTATGCATTTTCTTCTCATTTGGCTGCAGCAATACTGTAAATAGCAAGCTAGCATATCTTACAATGTGCATGCATTCAATCACAGCTACTAGCTAACATCAGGCTTGTGTGATTCAGTGAGGGGAGTCACGTTATAGGAAGTCAGTTAGGTACTATTTCAGCATGTAATATTATATTGATTAGTGCAGACTTTGGGGATCAGATGATTTGCAGTGCGCCATAATGTAACAAAGAGCTCAATTTATATTAGATTAATTGATTTTGAATGACTAGGGATGTTAACTTCCGCAGGCTGCACGCTCTGTCAGTGGCTGAGCGACACGTATGAGCTGGGCAGATCGCTTCCGTGTGTGACTGCGCAGGCCGGCCCCCTTTCATTATGTATTAAACTGTATCAATGCTCTGTTTGAGACAATAAACTCACATGGTACATTTATTTTAAAGTAACGAATTCCAATATTGATTGCTCAGAAATGTGTTTCGCTTGAAAGTGTTTTTTAAATAATGTATGCTCAAACCACCATGTTTCCTACAGGTAAAGGGTGATGAGGAGGATGATGGCACACTTGAACTCCAACAGACAACAATTCAGGGCCAAAGGTAAGAGAGTGGATTCTTACATGGTCTAAATAGATTCTGAGAACAGCCAGTAACACAATATAAGACACTGTTTTCCAGAGGTGGGACCAAGTCATTGTTTTGCAAGTCCGAGTCAAGTCTCAAGTCTTTGCGCTCAAGTCCGAGTCAAGTCTCATGTCAGGATGGGCAAGTCCTAAACTTTGACCAAACGAGTCTTAAACAAGTCATTATGTGCTTTTCATCAAATGTAATGACATCGATCAACAGAATAATACTTAATTATCAAACTGCTCTTTATTAGTCACATTAATAATTTAATAATCCATTTTCTCTCTGCTGGTAAAGTAACGTGTGTTTTTCCTAATTTAAGAGGGATCAGTAAGGTAAGGCTACCGTGACGGTTTGATTCAGAAGGAGTTTAATGTATAAGATCCCTGATGTTGAGGTAACCAGAATGTTTATTTCTACTGTGTACAACATGTTATAAGGGACCCACAATCTATCTTTATGCAAGGGACAATGTGCAGCGAGGCGGTGAATCTAGATCCCTCTGCAGGTGGTACTTTAACTATGTTTTGATGCTAATACTTTTCTACTTTTACTTGTAACATTTTGAATGCAGGACTTTTTATTGTCCTGCAGGTTTTGCCAACTCAAATGTAAGACTTTTACACATTTTTAAGACCACTTTGAATAGAATTTAAGACATATTTCACGGCAATAAAGTATGAAGGAAAATTGATGTGAAAGAAGAAATACGTCCCATAATCACTTACAAAGTAAATGTATTCATGTTCAACATAAGAACAGTGACTGAACACAACAGCGTAACAGTACAGAACTGTGTTAGCGTGTTAGACAAAAAGTGTGTGTGTGTGTGTGTGTGTGTGTGTGTTAGGGCTGTGCAATTAATCATATTTTAATCGCAATTACGATTTTGGCCTGCCACAATTACGAAAACAACATAATCGGAAAAAAGATTATTTTGCTTTGCTAGGTTGTGACAGTGCACTACAACATATTTGATCTAATTAATTTTTTAGTAATGTATCATTTATTTAATACATTTTTGTATTGGTTTTTCAGTTGAATTATACGTTCAGGGTAACCAACAGTTAAAAAGATACTGTTCAAATTATTATTTGTTTTAAAGTTCAATAAATGGATGTTTTCAAAGTCAATGAATAATCGTATTTAATAATCATGATATTAATAGACTTGTTAAGACCCCGCGGGAACCCTGATTGTAACTTTTTTTTAATTGTCTGAACTTCTCCCACCTCTGACAATAAATCCTGAGTGGTTACCAAAAAAAAACCCTGCTCTGAAGGGTATTTTCATTTTACAAATCCTGCACTCAGCTTTGCTTTCTCCAATATCATTGAAAAGCAGCCAGATGGTGCTTCTTTTTTCGGTTTTCGCTCATTTCTTGACTTTTTCCGACGCGCTTGCATTTAAATCCGGCTCTGTGCAGCTGGCCTGTACCACTACACAGGCTGTGCCCCCCACCCTTCTTTCACATAATGGTATGATCCTTGTGTGTCCTCGCATATGATTGGCCGCATGGTGGCCCAGCTAAATAAAGACCCGCCCCTGCCTGCAAGGATTCTCAGCAAGAGTAGGAGCGGCTGAAGATTCTGCTCTCCCCAACGGGAGTCTGCTCTTCTAACGGCAGCTCGCGATCAGCGTGTTGGAGACCTCTGAATTAAAGTATCAAGTCAGAAGGCTCAAGTCCAAGTCAAGTCCCGAGTCATTGGTGTTCAAGTCGAGTCGCAAGTGTTTTGTGATGTTGTCAAGTCGAGTCTCAAGTCATCAAATTTGTGACTCGAGTCTGACTCGAGTCCAAGTCATGTGACTCGAGTCCACACCTCTGCTGTTTTCCAACAGTTCCTCGCTCCAGCATTCAGAAACACAAAAAAAGACACAGAATCATTCATTCCAGTGACTTTTGCAATTTGTAAGACAAATAATTTGTAATTTTGGCAGCATTTTTCTATGTATAATGTAAAGCAATAAAACTCCATATCCAAAAAATAAATTCCTTAAAACAAGATTGCCTTTTTTAGTTCCTAAGAGGCTGATATAAGATGGATAGAAAGATACATAGATATTGTATTCATCCTAAATGGAAATTATTTTGTGACAGCAGTAATAATCCACCAGCAGCAGAATTTAAATTATTATGCAAATGTATCTTACCCATGCTCCTCTCTGTCTCATCCTTTTCCACACAGTGGGGCTTTCTACAAAGTGCAGCTGCCCTCCAGTCTGGCAGCGGGGGCTCAGCTGAAAGCGAAGTTGGAGATGACCTTCAGCCACGTCCTGCAGCCCTTCCCCTCTCAGATCACCCAGGCCGAGCGCCAGCTGGTGGTCTTCCAGGGGAACCACTACATGTACTCCCCTTACCCCATCCGCAGCCAGACCACACGCATCCGCCTGGCCTCCAAAACTGTGGAGTCCTACTCCAAGCTGGGTAACCCGAGCAAGAACGATGAGATCATCGAGTACGGACCTTTCCGCGACGTGGCTCCGTTCAGCGAGGTACAGCTCGGACCACATTCGACAATCTTCCGGTGAAACTGCAAGAAAGTTTGCTGAAATGTTCTGTGTTTTCTGTGTTCAGGATACATTGAAGATCCATTACGAGAACAACTCGCCCTTCCTCACCATCAGCAACATCGTCCGCACCATTGAGGTCTCTCACTGGGGTAACATCGCTGTGGAGGAGACCATCAACCTGAGGCACACAGGGGCCGTCCTGAAGGGGCCCTTCTCTCGCTACGACTATCAGCGCCAATCAGACAGCGGCATCTCATCTGTCAAATCCTTTAAGGTATTGTATTAAACGTTAACTGCATCCACTTCCCATGTTTTTACTGTCACGATGACGATGATGACTGTATACTTTCTCCTCGACAGACTATCCTCCCTGCATCGGCCCAGGACGTCTACTACAGAGACGAGATTGGAAACATCTCTACCTCCCATCTGCAGGTTCTGGATGACTCTGTGGAGGTGGAGGTCCGGCCTCGCTTCCCCTTGTTCGGCGGCTGGAAGACCCACTACATGATTGGCTACAATCTGCCCAGCTACGAGTACCTCTACACCCTGGGTCGGTTGACTTATGATAACCGCAAGAGGAGTTTAACACTGAAAAGGGGAATATCCCAGGGTGTGCTGCTTATGTCTCGAATGCTTTTCTGTTTCAGGTGACCAGTATTCTCTGAAGATGAGACTAGTTGACCATGTGTATGATGACCAGGTGATTGACTTCCTCACTGTGAAAATCATCCTCCCAGAGGGGGCCAGGTTAGTGTTTGAAAGCAAATCCACAGCATGTTTAGTACAAATCTCTGCAGCATGTGATGCTGATTTCTGGTATTTTCCTTACAGAAACATCCAAATGGATACACCCTACAAAATTGATCGCAAGCCAAACCAGCTGCATTATACATATCTGGATACCTTTGGCCGACCAGTGCTGGTGGCCAGCAAGAGCAACCTGGTGGAGCATCACATCCAGGACGTTATGGTAAGAAGAACCGTAGGAAATGATGGGAATTGTGCATTCTATATTGTATGCATATTCATCATTTATCGGCAGATTTGCAGAACATTACTTTGAGTTAGCTACTATATCATTATTTACAAGATGACATGCAGAACTGTAGGTCTTTTTAGTTTTACAAATGTAAACAAAGGAATACAAAACTGACACACTAAATGTTTTAAGGTAATTGTGAAATACTTCAAATTTAAATGATTTCACAACTCGAGACACTTCCCTCCTCTGCCACTTCCTGGCAAGAAATATCTTATCAGCCGAGTTCACGTGTATGAGTAGTATAAACTTGGGTGAGTTAATACAAGAACAAATGTTTCTACATCAGTCCTTCCAGATTTGAGGAGGTTGGTGAATCTCTCAGCAAAATGATGAAGATAAACCAGTCAGGTTGCTTTGTGAAACAAGACTTGGGACAGCTTCTAAGAAAAGGCAAAGGACCAGTATGACTTGTTTGTGGGTTCTAATGATTATCACAGTCTTTAGTGCTGTCTTTTGTCTACTAGCTAATCAAAATAATGATTTAAGCATTAGATATTGGGTTATAGCTCTCTCCTTTCAGGGCAGCCCCATGATTTACAGGTTAATACACCGACCATTGACCCTCATTTTACATTATCTCACTACTATAACTATCTAGCAAAATACATTTTGATGTACTCTGTGAAATTGTACTCTAACCTAGTTTAAAAACTGTCTCTTGTGATTTCAGGTTCATTATAACTTCAACAGGATCCTGATGCTGCAGGAGCCTCTCCTGGTTGTAGGAGCCTTCTACATCCTCTTCTTCACTGTCATCATATATGTCCGCCTGGACTTCGCCATCACAAAGGTACAGCAGCGTTTACGTCTCTTTTAGAAAGGAAGCCTGGTTTCTGCTGGCCTCATTTGAACCCTGATACCCTCCTCCTTTTGGCAGATATCCTGCATAATTCTGTCTACACTTATTGGCATCATAGTTTTAAATGTGTGTTGCTTGTTTGTCCAGGACCCTGCGGCTGAGGTGCGTATGAAGGTGGCCTCCATCACAGAGCAGGTTCTGACTCTGGTCAACAAGCGTCTGGGTCTGTACCGCCACATGGACGAGGTGGTGAACCGCTATAAGCAATCTCGAGACACGGGGGCGCTAAATAGCGGGCGGAAAACCCTGGAGGCGGACCACCGCAACCTGACCAATGAGATCAGCTCCCTGCAGGCCCGCCTCAAAGCCGAGGGATCTGACTTGGCCGATAAGGTGGGTGACGTGTAATGAAAGCACAGATAAGTGAAATAATCTGAAAGTCATTACAAAGACGGTAATGTTCCCCACTCTGTCCCCCCCCCTCAGGTCGGGGAGGTGCAGAAGCTGGACGGCCAGGTGAAGGAGCTGGTGTGCCGCTCCAGCCAGGAGGCGGAGCGTCTGGTGGCCGGGAAGGTGAAGAAGGAGGCTTACATCGAGAGCGAGAAGACGCTGAGCGGCAAGAGACAAGAGCTGGTCGGCCGCATCGACAGTCTGCTGGACGCCCTCTAAACTACTCCTGCCACACACACACACAAACAGACACACACACACACCATCCATGTGACAACACAAGACCGACTATTTGTATGAATGAGAATTAAATGAAATGTGACACATTTGCTTACACATTTTTTGTACCATTCTTGAGACATGGACAATTTAAAATCTGATCTTTTGGCAGTGACGGGTTTATCCAAAAATGTGTGCCTTGTGATAAACTTGAGGTCAGCTCTGCGTCACAAAATGTGGCTTTTTTTGTTTGCCTGTATTTCTGTTTTCAGACTAGACACTTCATTTTCATGTTCGGATCTGGACTTTGTCTTTTTTTTCTGTATGTATGGTTATGGGACTTTTTTTTTTTGGAAACTGATTGCAGAAGGGCCCAAGTATTTTCGTCCTCATGTCTTTACTCGCATAAGCCGTATTCAAAGATTGAACCATCTCTCGCTCTGAAGTATGAAAGTGAATTTTTTTTCCAATCGTATCTCTTTTGCACTTGCAACTGTTTTCTACTCGCCCCCTGACTGACATTTATATTTGAACAAAGCCGAAGCTCTAAATTTGTCTCATCCCACATGCTTGTTGTTGATGTCCCTCAGTCACATTTTCTACATTTTTTATTATTTTCTTTTTGTAAGTGATGTTTTTTTTTCTTTCGACCATGACATTAGTGAATACATGAGATTAGGTTTATGCGAGAAGAGACACGAGAGATGGGACACGGATGTTTGTGGAATGGCCGATGACATGAAAAGCTGTCAAATTTGAAATAAAGTTTTGAGAAACTCAGCATTTAGCATGTTTTTAAGACGACACACTGGGGAATGAAGATGGAAAATGGAGTTAACAGCTGTTGGATAGATCATCTAGGGATGCAGTCCCTTGGTAAATCAAAAGAGGGCGCACTTGTGTCAAGAACCAACAGCAGGCTTTTTCTCAAAGCTTTGATTCTCCCATTGAATATTTTGCAGACATGAAGATATCATCCAAAATAAGCTACACATGAGTTTTTCCTTTTGCCCCTTTTTTTTAAAACTGGGGATTTCCAGCACATTGTTGCATTTCTCATTTCAGAGAAACCGCACCTATCACCCTCTCCTCACCAGTGAGCGGAGCAGCCGACCTGCCTCCATCCCATAGGTCAGTCTGAGGTCATCGCTTTCCCTATGAGGTCACCAGGGGTCCCGGCAGGTCACTTCCTGCTCCATAATAACAGTTGTGGTTCCCCTCACAATGATAATGTTAACATATTGTATGTGCCATACAATAATCATTCTGAAAATACACAGCAGGGGGGAAGCAAAGACAATGTCTGTTAGCGCTGATGCTCGGTGCCGCTGAAAGGCCACACAATAGCATTTTTGTTTGTGTGTTTGTTCTGTGAGTGCAGATTTGGAACGCTGAGAGTTCGTAGAGTCGCCGAGTCTCATTCACGTCCACATCAGCACCGAGACCGAGGACAAACGCTGAGCTCACGTCTGCTCGGCCTCGATGCTATCAGGTCTGTGAGTTTCAGTGATGTGATTGAAGGATTCCTTTGGAGGTTGTTTTTGATTTGTGGATTTCAGAGGGTTTATAGACTGAAACTCTGGCCTTAAAAATACTTTCTTTCAAATAGAGGACTGTGAATTCATCTTAGATGTTGTAACACCCCAGCAGCAAGGATTCTGGTACCAGAGCCTCTATTGATCAAATCGTTAAACACATTTTAATTGTAAATAGTTCAAAACTATAAATCAATCATTTTCTTTAATTGTCTTAATTAATAAGTTCTGCTATTTTTGAATGACAACATATTTTAACGATTTGACCACAAGTCGTTGACTAATTCAAATATGCAGACTCAGTTTTTTCTCCATTTTGTATAAAACATTTAAAGACATCACCTTGGACTTTGAGTCACTGGGATGATTATTTTTCCATATTTTCAAACATTTTATAGACCAAAAGATGAATCAATCAATATATAAAGTAACTTGCCGATAAGTTGGGTTTGTTGTTTTAAAATGGTAATACTGCTCGTCAGAGGGAAACAGTATTATAAACTAAGTAAGTAATGTGAAATATTTCCTGTATAAATTCAAAAAAACTATTCATATGCTCCTAATCTGGAAGTCGTAAAAACCATGAAGCATACATTCTTGTTGTTTCCTCGGCTGTTTGGACCATTAGAGTTAATGAGCTGATTAGAAAAACACTGGTTTATCAGGTGTTACATTTTACTCCATTACGATTAGATGGTGTTACTGTCTTATTTATGTGAGACCAAATATAGTCCCTGCAGTTAGTTTTTATCTTTGTTCTTACAACGTCTACACTCGTTTTTTTCCTTTTTGTTTTAAATCATGTACTTCTGTGGCATGATATTTGATTTATTTTGGTAAAACCATAATGCATTATGGTCTTAACGCAAACGTAGGCAGTGAAGTTGTTACTGTTTTGGCGTTGTAGGGCAGAGTAGGCCTCTGCCTCTTTGATTGGCCCTTTATTCACAGAGCACACACGTGATTAACCATGTTACCCTCCTTAAATACGAATATGTCTTAAATGTCTTCTTCACTTTTAACAAAGGGCATATTTTCGATTCCTAAGTGTCTCTTTAGAGTTTTATTCATACGGGCACAGATTTTAAGTAAGAAGTAAGGCCTTTTAGAATGATGTCATAACTTTACCTTAAATAGGCTGCATTTGAGCCCCTCCATTTCATAAAAAATCACATTTTTGAATTTGCTGTAAGAATGATACTGTTAGGCTATTGGCTGCTTCATGAAGGGTCTCACTGAACACGGCTTTTGTCATCACACATTGGTTTCTTGAAGCATTTGCTCTCCTATTTGACTGTTATATCATCGGGTGGTGTTTGGATGATTGGCCTTTCAGTCTTTTCAGTTCCAGGCCTGTCCTCGGGCCCAGGATGTGATTACCGGTCGCATAGGAGCTGCGGTTGATCTGTTAGCCTGAGCCGAGCAGAATACTGTTTTAAACCGGAATTCATGTGCAGCACTGTATCCTGATGTGGCAAACCGTGTGTGTGAGGGTGTGTTTCAGGGGGTTTTATGTAGGGTGTTGGACTGCCTGGGTTGCCATGTGGTTGAGCTGTCACGGTCCCCCCCTTCAGATTATGATCTTCCTTTCCTGAAGTAAAAGATGCAGAGTGTGTTCTTTCTTTATCTGCCAGCAAAAAATAATGAATATGCAAAAAAAAAGGAAAAAAAGTGGAGTCAAACTAGGTATCAGTTGAAGGGGGTAATCCTGCAGCCCCCGGGCCCCGTGACGTGGTGGTGATTGATTACATTGAGGGCTCACCTGCAGTACTCTCCCTCTTAATCTTTCTCGCTGTGAAAACACACACACACACACACACACACACACACACACACACACACACACACACACACACACACACACACACACACACATACACACACACACACACACACACACAGACACACAAAGAGAGAGGCAGAAGTCACCAGTCAGGGAACAATATCCTGCTCAGAAGACCCTTTACAGCACACTCTCATAAATCACTGAGACAGAGCCACCACCCTCACTGTCAGCCAGTTACACACACACACACACACACACACACACACACACACACACACACACACACACACACACACACACACACACACACACACACACACACACACACACACACACACACAATTTCAGTTCAGTCAATCCCAGCCATGTCGTCGAAAAGGCAGAAATCTGAACGTGCCCTGGAACACGCCTCACCTGCGCTGATTCCCTCTGGCTCTGCTTGAAACACACTTCCTCACAACAACAGCAGCTCCTGTGTCCCGCTCTGCCCTCTGCACCGGCCATTCCTCAGTGACAGGGGGCCGGGATGAGGGGATGAGAGGCTCTGAAGGGCGAGGTGAGGGATGGATGAAAGCCCCATAGCGGCGAAGGTCCCGGGGCCCTGCGTCCTGTGCAGGTGGCAGGTGTGATCAGGCCGGCTGCAGAAGCGTGAGGGCGAGGAAGAGGAGGACAATGAAGGCGTCTGTGGCCCCTCGTCGCAGCTGCAGCGGGCGGGGAGGAGCGGGGCTGACAGATAAGACGGTCGGACGGACGGAAAGATGGAGGAAGGGAAGGACAGGGCGGTAAGATGGAGATGGGACTTCAAACGGGGGATTGGGCCCTGGGTGCGGAGAGACGCATTCTTGTCTGGCATGGAGGAGGTGGGGACGGGAAAGATGGATGCCACAAAAAAAGGTCCACAGCTTCACTCCTCTAATGCAGATGTTTACATCAGAACGCTGCTGCCCGAGTCTTCACTAACACTAAGTGGATCACATCACTCCAGTTCTGAGGTCTTTACACTGGCTTCCTGTCTGTCAGAGAATTGATTTAAAAAATGCTGCTGCTGGTTTATAAAGCATTGAATGGTTTTGGCCCAAAATACATTTCTGATCTCCTGCTATCCATCCAGAACTCTGAGGTCTTCTGGGAGGGTCTGCTTTCTATCCCCAGAGTCAGAATTTACATGGAGTTCGGTTATTATGCTCCAAACATCTGGAACAAACTCCCAGAAACCTGCAGGTTCGCTGCAACTCTTACCTCTTTTATGGCTCAAGACTTTTCTTTTTCCCACTGCACTGTAACTTGTATTCATGTATTTTATACTTGTGTTATTCTCTATTAGCTTGTTTTATGTTTATTTTATTCTCTTTGCTTTTTAACAACTTCCCTATTTCTTAATGTGTTTCATTTTTGTAAAGCACATTCAATTGCCTTTGGTTGAAAAGTGCTATATAAATAAACTTGCCTTGCCTTACATTGCACACTTTTTGCTCAAAGCCCCTGTGCTCTGCCCATATCTGTGCACATATTGATGTCAACCTCCCTCTCTGTATGGATTTGTATCGATGAGACAGTAATCCTCTTCCCTTGCCGCCCTTGTGTGCAACTGTCCACAGCTCCCACTAAGACCCACTGATCTCTGCCACATGGCGCTCCATCAAAGCACTGATGGTCATGCCTCTCAGGGCAAGTTTTGCCAGGAAAAAAAAGCACCCGTGTGGCTCATACATGTCCCTGGGTGCAGAGGATGAGCGGCAGCTGAAGGTCTACTTTAGACTTTGTATCATCTTGGATCACAAGAGTGAAACAAAGCTGGTCTGTTTAAAAAAAAAAAGCACTCCCGTCTGAGCGTGTACGGACACACGCGCACGTATCCTACTTTCTCTATCAGCGCTGATTAGAGTGACAGGGGCACTTCCCATTGGCTGTGAGAGTGGCCCTCTCCTTCCCAGGGCAGCCAATTTCCCCTACTCCAGAGCTGATAGGAAACTTTGATTGTGCACTGAGCTCAGGAGAGACAAAGAGATTTTTTCCTCTTGCAATCCACATATCGCTCCATCACATCTCTACCTACAATCTCCACCGCTTGCTCTCTCCTCTGCCATCTCTCCCTCTTGAAATTTCCTTTCTTGCCCAATATTTCCAAGATCACCACTGTTGTGGGCTGCTGAATGTGAGTCCATTAAACTGGCACTGACTGCTTTGATGGGCAGGAAGCGTCACTTCATGTGGTGACATCTGCTTCCTGTGACACAATCCTACCCTGTGCACATGATGTACTGTGTTGGCTTACCACTGTCCTCTGATAGCGTTCCCATAGTTTGATACCGTGAGCAAATGGCGGATGCTGCTAAAAACATTTGGTATGGGCTCAGGTTGGGATTTTGTGGAGGCAAACACAACTTTCAAATCAAATAGAAACCGGACAGGTGGAATCAGGTTAAACCAAACTAGAGTATTCAATATATGTACAGGTC